GCTGCAAGTAGAGGAGTGAGGAATCAAACCTGGTTCTCCCAGATTAGAGTCTGACTTCACCACTACACCAAACTGGCTCTTCAGAAACAGAAACATTTAGCTTTTAAAAAGCACAGTTTAAAAAACACTGCCCTCACAGTCGCAGCACACATCACAGCAGCCTCGTCCTGCAATCGCATTGGCCACAAACTGCCAGGAATTAGAAGCGATACTTCCCATAAGCACTTATGCGCATGCTCAAAGGACAAATAATAAAGAAAAGTTCTCACTCCGTGGCGGCCATCTGATCGGTCCTCCATGGGGTGAGTGTGGGGTGAAGTGGGTTAAGGATGGGATGTCTGATCAAATTTCTCTGTTACACAAATTAATGGAGGAATTTGAGGCAGGTTCAGACCACGCTAACCCTGCCGTGTGGCCACAGCCTCAGTCTCCTGCTCTCTAGGTCTTCCCGTTCTGTTCCCCTTCACTCACTGTGTTCCCAAGGGCACAAGGCATTTTTCACCCCCGTGTGGTTCTCACTTCACCCCCCGCATCGGACAGGGGAAGGAGGACCCTCACCTGCGACAGGTTCATCAGCTGGGCAGCCAGGCAAAGCAGATCCTGTAAACTGGGAAAGGGAGGAGGGCTCCTGGGTGTCACCACAGCCAGTGGCCGTGGACGGGCCCCTTTCCTCCGGGAATCTGCCATGCCACGCCTGCCTTGTGGCCCTCATTACACCCACTGGCAGGAGCCTGCCACGGTTTAGGTTCTTTGGAGGGTGGCACCTACGGCATTATACACAGCTGAGGTCCTCCCCCTCCCCCAGTCTCACCCTCCCCAGGACCCACCCCGAAACCTCTGGGAATTTCCTAACCTGAAGTGGGCAACCCTAACACACAGGGGCTCCAGCGTGGGCGCGTGCCCCACGTCCCCCACAGTGCAAAGAATGCGTCCACTTTCTCTGCTGCCCTCTTCCCGTCTTCCCTAAGCAATCTTACTCCTTTCTCAACCAAAGGCCCAACTGCCTCCCTGGCCGGTTTCCTGCTCCTGGTACATTCGACGGAACGCCCATGTCTTCGGCCACCGGCTCCTCTGGTTCCTTCCTTTGCTTGCCTTATTCTCAGCTGACTTTTTCCTGGCCACAAACAGGGCTCCCTTTTGTTTGCCCTCCCACTTTTTAAAATAAATCCTTTTGCTTTTACAGTTTCTTTGACTTGGTTTGTTGACCGTGCATGCACCCTTTTCCTGTTTCGAGACATGCATTCTGTCTGGCCCTCAGCTAGTGTCATTTCAAATAGTTCCTTGGCATCCTGGAAGGATTGGACTCTCTTGGTTCTCCCTTTCAGCTTCCTTCTGACTGATCCCCTCAGTTTTGCAAGATTCCCTCTTCTGGGGTTAAAACTGGTAGGGGGTTTTTGGACTTAAGGGGCGATTTCCCATTGACATGAATGCCGAACAGGGCCTTGTGGTCACTGTTCCCAACTGGTGCGACAACATCCCCATAAGACCACACCGGGTCTTGAGCCACATGACCAGCTGCACCAGAGCACAGAGTGCCACTTTGCAAATGGGAAAGATCCGCAACCACTCGTCCGTGCGCATTCTCTGTCGTGGCTCCCATCCTGTGGACCTGCCTGCGAGAGATCGGGAAGGCCGCCACACCTCCGTCACCCCACACCACGCGCCAGGCAGACATGTCCAGGAGGGCCTTTTTGCACAGGGCATCGGACTGCAGTATCATGGGAAACGTCAGGAGGGAAAGGGTTGGTGGTCTATTGCACGATGGACTGCATAGACCCATCTGCCTTTCACTGCATTGTCTTCTACCTTTCTGATCTGTTTTTTCCCCACTGTTTTCTAACTTTGTAACCCTAGTCCTATTGGATTGTTTACTGGATGTCTTAGGCTGTCTGGCTGCATTTTGTAATCAACCCTAAGATGACTGGGGGGGGGGACACGAGAGAGGTTTATAAAATGGTGCATGGGGTGGAGAGAGTGGATAAAGAAGTCTTTCTCCCTCTCCCCAAATACTAGGACTGGAGGGCGTCCACTGAAGCTGATGGGCAGTAGGCTCAGGACAGACATACTGCTTTACACAGAGAGTGATAAGAAAGGTGGAACTTACTGCCAGAGGATGTAGTGATGGCCACAGGTAGGGTTGCCAAGTCCATCTTCCACCCCCAGCGGGGGACTTTGGGGGCGTTCCTGGAAGGGGCGGGGCATCCCCAACGTGATGATGTCACGTTGGGGACATCTGCCGCCCCCCCCCCCCCGGCCGTGCGTCGGATCTCCAGAAACGGCAGTTCCCTGCACTTAAAGTAGCTGGCAGCTTTCGCAAGTCAGAGATTATGCCATCAGATCCATGAAGTGTACATCCACTGCACCACACGGGCTCTGGACACCCCTGTGAAACTGTGCCGTGGACACACAAGCATCGCACTATATCACAAGGCCCCCGGCCATCAGACGTGCCTGCCCCCTTCCAGCTGCCTGCCAGGACGCAGAAGGCAACCCACCGCCTACAGTCCAGCACTGCGTTGCAAGGACATTTGTTGTTCCGTTCCCTCAGACAGGGACTCTCACCCTGAGGATTTACAAAAGGCATTGGGGGAGGGGGATGACAATACCCACCCAGTAAAGAGGCAGATCGACCCAGCCTGACTGACAACAGAACTCCACCGGTTGTCAACTACAGCTCACTACTTAAGCCACTCCAGTGCCCCGTCAGCAGCCTGAAGTCTCTCCTGGAGTAGGATCAGGATATTTTTCTTCTACGAGGCTTGGGGGGGGCAGGCTCTTCCTCGCTTATAGGCAGCCCCCCAACATAAAACAGGTTCTCACCAACAACCACGGGCCTCCCAACAGAGAGAGAAATGCTTTCGTGCTGGGTAAAAGTACAAGGGTACACCGAAATGCATTTCTTACTGATTTACTCACTAAAGATTTATTGTGATATGAATTTTTTGTGAACTACCGACCACTTCATCAGCTGTGTCATATGTTGATACCACGTATTAACATCACCCAAAGAAGCACGCCTTCCTCTCCTGACTAAAACAAAAGGATAGTGCCGGATGACGACAGCGGTGAGCCATCGAGTCTTCCTGCCGCCCATCAAGAAACGCAGCTGTCGGGCATCCGGTCGTTAACCCAAAGCACCGGTCCTGCCACCTGATGGGTTCTCTTCCTTTCCTCCTCTGTCTCTCCCATTCTCCTATGAGGGGTCACTCCTAGCCGAGCCATCACCCACAACTGCCCAGCCATCAATCCCTTTTTCTGCCCTAGTCATAGTTTAAGTTGTCAGTTAGTATTTCCTGGGGATCATGTTATGACAGGCAACTGCCTCAGGTCACAATTCAGGTATAAAAAGAGAGCATCCAGCTATTGCTGTCTCTCTCTTGCTCTTACCTTTCCTGACCCCACCCTATCTTGCTGGTTTCATTCTTAGCACGGTTTGGAACTTCCCACATGCGTTGCTGGTCAACTCACAATCCCTTCCCATATTTTTAGCCCTTCTTCGCTGCAGAGTCAACTCGTCTCGCTGGACAGGTAAAGTATCACCCCACCAATAATACTTCCTGCCAGAGGTCATTTCGGGGGGGATCACGGGGGATCGCAGTCCCCCCGGGTGAGGTGCGGGGGGCGGGGGGCACATGACAAAGCCCCGCCCCCTGCTTCCGGCCGCCCCGCTTCCGGCCCTCATTCAGCCATGAGGAGGCAGGAGAAGAGGGAGGGTAAGTTGCTTCCTCCCTGCCTCTCCCCACCCCTGCCTGCCTGGGGCCAGGGAGGGCCTTCGCGGGGCTTCCTTGCACTCCCGCCGGCCTTGCAGGTCCACCACCGGGCCCCTCATGGGGCTTGGCAGTGGAGCTGCAAGGCCGGCAGCGGCAGCCGGGACCGTTGGGGGCGGGGTGTGTGGCCTTATGACACACTTCTGGTGATGTCAGGGGGTGTGGCATATGCTAATGAGTTATGCTAATGAGTTCCCCTAGCTCTTTTTCTATGAAACGACCCCTGTTTCCTGCTAATGCAAACGTCTCTGTACTTTTCTATCTGAATTCCTAGATCTGTATTGTTTGTGTGTATGCTTGATTTTATATTTGTGTGTGTGAGGATCCTTTAGTAATCTAACCTCATTGTCTATTCCTGGGGACTGGGAATTCAATCTCTGGTATACATGGGTTACGGTCCTATAATTAATGCCTATTGCCATTTAACGGTTCATATTTCCCCACATTTATTAATAAAATAAGACAATATGGCTAACATGGTATATCCTTAATCAGACGAATTAACACCTTCTTTCCCTTTAAATCATCTGATGAAACCCAAACTGAGTGAGACTAAGTGGATTTCCCCCCCTCATAGCTGTCCAGGTCCCCCATTTCTCTTCCATTCCCCTCCCCCATAAGTGGCCATACTGGGGGATGTGTTTTAGTTGCAGATGGCCTGTGGTTGTTGCAACCAGCGCCATTGTGGGATGAACCGGTCGATAAGAAAGTGAAGAAGGAACACATCCCTCTGGATATGGCTGCCAACTTGGGAACTTCCTGGAGATTTTGGGGGGTGGATCCTGGGGAGGGCAGGGTTGGGGCAGGGGAGGGAGTTCAGGAGAGTATAATGGCCACAGAGTCCACCTTCCAAGCAGCCATTTTCTCCGGGGGGGACTGATCAGGGAGTTTGGCAGACCTTGCCTGGAAGCTGGCAACCCAAGCTCAGCCAGACCACCTCTTGGGCATGAGATTCAGTGCATGGCAGACAGAGAAGATGCTGGGGGGGGGGGAAGGGAGGGTAAGGAGTGAGACTGGCCTCGGGGTGTCCCAAGGGAGGCTTTTCCAGAGCCAGTAGGTGGGACCTGCCCCGTGAGGAAGGGTTCTGGAGCCTCTCTCTGTGTGTATGCGTGCGTGTGTGTGTGTGTGTGACAGAGAGAGAGAGCCAGGAATTCCCTGTGCACTACTCCCACCCTCCAAGCCCCACCTGAAGCCACTCCCCTTCCTCTGCCGCTTGTGAGGGTCAGAACTGACCTTTCTGGCAGTTGCTGGAGGTCCAGCAGCGGTACTCCATCCGGCCATTGATGCTCGTCTGGGTCTGGACACAGGGCTTCTCCACGTCCAGAATCCCCGGGCACACATCCGCACACTCCTCCACAGGCTTGTTGTGCAAGATGATGTTCTGCTCAAGTGAGTGGGGTTGCAGCAGCCCCCAGTCGATGGTGGAGATGTGGCAGAGCTCCTGGTTGCGCTCAATGCGCACGGAACCGTTCAAGATGTTGGTCAGGCTGTGGAGGCCGATGTCACGCAGATGCGGCATTTCGAAGATCACCAGGGCGTAGTTGAAGAAGAGGCTGGTCCCGCGAATGACTGCCAGGTTGGGGAAGAGGTCCCGCAAGCTCTCCAGCCCGTAGACCCGGAAGAGTAGCAGGTACTCCGTGATCATGACCAGGCGGGGGAAACGCAGGTGCCGGAAGTGCTCGCTGCTGGTGGTGAACATCAGAAGGATCTGCAGGTTGCCCTCGATGACGGTGCAGTTCTCCAGCTTCTGCAGCTGGGAGACATCCACGCGAATGTCCATGCTCCCGCAGACTGCGGAGACCGGAGAGAGAAGAGTTGCCGAGAGGTCGAGGACAGGACCCGTTAACCTCCCCCACAGCACAGGCAAGACCCACCACACCTTCCTATGGTGAAAGTGCGGCATCACCACATGTACAGCTTGGGGAAGGTGAGCCTCTCATAGAATCATAGAAGAGTGGGAAGGGGCCATACAGAGACCATCTAGTCCAGCCCCCTGCCCCATGCAGGACCAGTCTGAAGCATCTCTGACAAATATTCCTCCAACCTCTTCTTGAAAGCTGTCAGTGAAGCGGGGAGCTCACCACCTCCCTAGGCAGCTGGTTCCACCTTTGAGCCACTCTG